GAGGCACAGTCTGGGACTGGGGACAGACTTGAGTGAGAGTCTGCAGACAACAGGGAGCTCCGGTCATCGGCAATAAGGGAGGGCTGTCAGGGCACGACAGAAGTGGCTCCAACAAAACAAAAAACAGCAAAAATCCACAACAGGAGAAAGCCCAAAGGCCACGGACAGGAGAGACAGGCTCTGCCATGGAGCCAACAGCAAACAGCGCTGCGCATCGTGTCAGACAAGGAAGCCAAGGGGAAGACTGAGGGGTGCAAACAGGCCAGCAGCCAACTGCCCGCGGGGTTTGCCGTCTGCGTTAAAACTGCATCTGCACACCTCAGCAGGCGGGAAGGAGAGGGAAGAGACAGGAGGAAGCACATCTCAAAGACAGGCAGGAAAACATATGCAAGATTTGAATTTCAAAGCTAGTGAGATCTAACCCAATGGATATATCCATTTGCTATTTCTTAGGGGAAAACAAACAAACAAAAATTTTGCCATGTAAAGAGCTGCTACTGAGAAGATAAATACTGCGAGGCAGACCAACTCCATTTATATCAGCTGGCCTAACAGACAAGTACTGTCACACATTAAGCGAAATTCAGGCTTTCTACAATTTGCTTTTTTCTTTCTTCTCCAAATACAGGAGCACACACTAAAGTAACAAATCTAGGTCTGAAACTATGACTACCCCAGCTACAAAAAAAAACCCCAAACAAACAAAAAACCAAAAACAAAATCGATACAGGAATGACTGACAAATGGCTGTCTACAACTGGGCTGTATCATCATATCATAAAATGAATTTAAAGAGGATGTGCAGGGCACATACATCCTCTGCAGTACAGAAGTGGGTTAGGGTATTGTAAGGCAAGGACAAAGAGTAGCAGGAGTTGCAGACAGGTTAGCAGGAGGGCTGGAAATGCATGGGATGCCCACACACAGCAGCATGACCAAGCAGCACCTCCAACCAGCACTGACACACAGAGACCACAAACACCCAGCACAGATAGATCCGCGTGATTCTCATCACCCCTCCCTAGGAAGAAAACACCCAAGATAAGGATGATACTGTTCGATTTCCCACAGCAATGAGTTGTAGATATTGCACTGAACAGGTCAGACATCGAGTGTCTGCCCAAGCACTTGATGGCATGACCTGGAACCTGCACGCAGCAGAGATAGCTGGGAGACAAGCTGTTAACGCCACCTGAAGAAACCTTCTTGTGAACTACGCAGAATGCACAAGTTGGCATTTCCAGCCATAGCCACAGTATTATTATTATTTTTTTAAATTCAGTTACAGATTATTTGCAACTGATACTGATGACACCAAACTAGGAGGTGTGGTGGATACACCAGAAGGCTGTGCTGCCATTCAGCGTGACCTGGACAGGCTGGAAAGTTGGGCAGAGAGGAACCTTATGAAGTTCAACAAGGGCAAATGGAGGGTCCTGCACCTGGGGAGGAACAACCCCATGCATCAGTACAGGCTTGGGGCAGACCTGCTGGAGAGCAGCTGTGCGGAGAGGGACCTGGGCGTCCTGGTGGACGACAGGTTAACCATGAGCCAGCATTGTGCCCTGGCTGCCAAGAAGGCCAAAGGGATCCTGGGGTGCATCAAGAAGAGTGTGTCCAGCAGGTCAAGGGAGGTTCTCCTTCCCCTCTACATTGCCCTGGTGAGGCCCCATCTGGAGTACTCTGTCGAGTTCTGGGCTCCCCAGTTCCAGAAAGATGAGGAGCTACTGAAGAGAGTCCAGCGGAGGGCTACAACGATGGTGAAGGGACTGGAGCATCTCTCCTACGAGGAGAGGCTGAGGGAGCTAGGCTTGTTCAGCCTGAAGAAGAGAAGGCTAAGAGGGGACCTAATATATACTTACAAGTATCTGAAGGGTGGGTGGGAGGATGGGGCTAGACTCTTTTCAGTAGTGCCCAGCGACAGGACAAGGGGCAATGGGCACACACTGAAGCATAGAGCAGGAGGGTTGGACTAGATGACCCACAGAGGTCCCTTCCAACCCCGAACATTCTGTGATTCTGTGATTTAACTGTGGCCACACTGACCACACGCCTTAGAATAAAGGATCACATTTTGCATGAAGTATTACTCTCTCTCACTGGTCAAATTTAGGGCTGTTTCTACTCAAAGCAGTTACTTGCCACTTTTCTGCCTCTGATTTAATTATTAGAGTCCCTTAAAGAGACTATTTATTGATCACATTTCCTACAATATTTAATGCTCAGAATTACAATTAGGAAATGTATATAACTGATTGTGCTGTCAGATGAATCCCGTGTTACTCAACTGCTAGCTTGAGAAAAGCCACCCGTAATTGATGGGCTGTTCCCATGGGACACAGCGTGACACTGGCTATTAGATCAATGCCCAGTCGTGTATTGCACATTCCTTGAAACTTCAGTGTTTTTACTAAATGATCCTCCTCAGGCTTTCCATTAATTCAGGTCTTTTCAGGACATTTTCCTTCTGGTTAAATGATACCAAATCCTCTCTTTTTGATCAAGTGTGTTGTTTTGGTTTCAGGTGTTTTTTTGTTGTTGTTGGTTTAATAGCTAGCATTTCCTTTCTTCTTTTACACATTTTCAACCATTTTTTTTATAGTTCCCTGTTATTGAAGGCTATGCAAATTCTGTATAGGCCTTAGTATTCCTTCTTCCTTTCTTGCCTTCTACATGAACATTTATACAAACAGATAATTTGCATTTCTACAAAATCTGCAGAAATACTGAAAAATTAAAGCTGCAAGGGACCTCACCAAGACCACCTACTCCAACACCAATACCTGGAAGCAGTCATCACACTACAAACACACGAAGCTCCCACATTCACCTACATATCAGACGATCAAAATCAGATGCAGATTCTTCTGGTTGCCGCAGTACTGAGAATACCGTATGAGAATTTTGCTTAGTCTGTCAATATTCTGTATCTCTACAGCGCCTTTTGGCAGAGGACAAAATCAGCAGTCCATCCCCTAGCCTGCGTATTCATGGTCTAACACCGCTAACTCTGTCACGCCATTAATCGGTCCAACGCCAACTGCTGGCATTTTGTCTGCAAGGTCAATTTTTATAGAGTTGAACAGTCTTTCGTTTCAGATAACCAGGCTCAAGCATTTTAACAACCAAAGATAATCAATGTATTTTCAAAAGGAATATATGTTCCCAAGATAGAAAAATGTTAGCAGATCAGAGACTTACACATATCACTGTAGAGCGCTCATACTTGTCAGGTACTACTGTGAAATAAATCTTCCATCTTTGATTTTTTTTGTGTGCAGTTGTCTCATCTGTTAAGTTTTTACAGTAAATCCCATCTTGAAAACAGAATTCTGACAATATGTAGAATTTATAAACTGTGTGCAGTCCCACTTGCATAAAACCGAAGGATCCAAATATCAGTGTGAGCAAAGAATTCACACTCATTCCTACGTGACCATAATAAGCAAGGCGTCCATACGGGTGGTCAAACCCACATTTAGACCACTAAAAGGAGTTCACCAGACTAAGTGCTCAGTACCTGAACATTCCTATTAAGCTGCATATGTGAGCTGATCTCTAGAATATCAAGAAGTTAATCAGGACATTTAAGGGTTTAATGGTGATTCAACAGTTTGCGCAAAGGAAAGACACACACCACCCCACGCCAAGGAAATTATTTGGAAGCAAATCGGTAAGCCACATGTTTCCACAAGAGGATAAAAGCAGCTTAAGATAAAATAGAAATCCACAAGTCTGTTTTCAGTTGAAAATACAGTAGCACTGTAGCAATTCCGACTTCCCATTTAATGCCCACTTCACTGAAGTGCTGTGTTGCAAGAGAATTTCAGCTTTTGGAATACAAGTTTCCATTTTTCTGCCAAGTTAGCATTACCACTAGTAACACTCTTCTTCAGTTACACACAAAAAAGTAAATATTTCACCCCTTTATACAATATACAATTACCTAAACTTTGCTGAGCAGATTCCAAGTGAAAGAATTCCCTTTCTGTCTTAGCCCTTTAAAAAACATCCTAAAGTTATTTTAACAGCAGTTCAGAGATCACTAGCAAAACACTAATCTTTGCTTCTTGAAATGATTTTCGAAACCACTTTCAACACAAATACATGTGTACGACAAAAGCACATAAACTGCACAGTGTTACACCTAGCTCCAACCCTGCTGCAGTTTAACGTGTTCAAATATCACGACACACACATCAATCCTGGATTGTTCAGTCTGTTTCTGTAAGCAGCCAAACCAAATGCACCGTTGCAGCAATTGCTGCTATTTGTTCACACTAGTTTTCCTAAAGCTGCTAAAATATACACTTCCCTCCGCCTATGCTCCAACAGGCTAGTACAGAAAAACTGCAGCCACAAATAAATGAGCCATCACTGGACAGAAGCATTTTCAATTATACAGAAAACAAGGAAACTGGCAACTGCATTATATAACGTACCCAGTTCATTTATTTAGATAAATGTAACTGAAATGTGATACAACTTTTTAATTATAGAAGTGTAATAAAAATAAATTCATTGTTGCTGCAATCCTGCAGTTGGAATTCCAAACTTATTCCCATTGTGATTTTCCAGCTACTGTTGAGGTGCAGCGGCACATGATTTAGCTGCTTCTTCCCTAAAAATAAAAAACTGCACAAGTATTTTGCCAGTTGCAGAATAAAAAAAATATTGACAGATCATATTTATTGTTCCTCACATAATGACTTTAATCTGATTTTTCTCATCTACCAGTCTCATGTAACCCAAACCCATCTTTCTTGCCCTCCCCACATCACACAAAACACATCAGAATCCAATTTTGTTGTCAGTCTCCACATCCCAGTGCAAAAGCATCCAAACAGTAACTCTCTCAATTCTAGGCAAACTTTTCATATCCTTGTGTGTGTATATACCTACATCAAGAGTTCACAATTTTGGGATATTTAGAGGGAGTTATCAACAGTTAAGCCTAACATTTAAATTTAACATTTCCCAAAGTTAGATGCGCAGAGTTTTCACTGCAGGGTGTAGGTCTGCTGCGTGTCCTTCACCGCAAGGGTTATAAAGAGGGACCGTGGATCCTTCCTGTTTTTGCGGACTGTGATCTTTCCTCTCAAAGCCTCTCCTGCAAAAGTAAAAAAGGAAATTACTACTCTTACATTACTGAATCATGCACAGCAACAGCAAAAATGCATTACATACCCTTATACTGCATGAGAAGCTGTTCCCAATTAAATGAGGTTTCCTCCATGTTTTCAAAGCTCTAAGCAATGGTTATGACAACAAACCTAAGACAAGCTAACTGCAGTTAAACCTGGTGAGGTGCTGAGTTACGTCTGATGCTTTACTTCTCAGATGACCCACCCAAAAAGCTGATACACCAACTATTTCACTTGTAACTGGGGAAAAACACTGCATTCCCTGGATACACTAACCTCTCTTTGTATCTGGTTGAGCTGGATCTGCACATTACTACCCAGCATTTCCAGGCACGTACGCATTGCAGCTGGACAGGTACCAAGTGCCACCACACTATTTTCCCCCACTCTCCGAGCTTCAAATATCAACTTGTTTTCTCGTGAAACAATATGTAACATCTTTAAATTCTTGAACACAGATTTCCATCCATGAAGTAAGCAAATTATTAGCAGTAATAAAACAGTATAAAAAAGCAAAATTGCTAGTCCATAAAATACAATATTGCATTATTCCTTTGCTGAACTCTCCAACTTAAACACCTCACTACTATCAACTTTGAGCAAAATCAAGTAACCATAAAAATCTTCCACTTCCTCCTGCTTATGCCATGTGGTTCGTATTTGCACAGCATTTGGTTCTAATTAGGTAAGGTTTTTATCTGGCAGGAAACATTAACACAGAAATCTTCACAGCATTTCAAGTATACACATTATTAACAGCAAGTTTCATTTTAACAAACTCTCAGGTTTTCTTGACGGTACCACTTCACATACACATGCTTCAGCTAAAACCAGAGAGAACACTCTGACTCTGACACAGAAGGAAAAAGCTGAGACACATCTAGAGAGGCGCATCTCCCACTTTTGGTGTTACTGGATTTTAGTAAAAGCTTTTGTCCTAGAGAAATTCCAGGCCTTGACGTTTCTGTGTAATATCCTGTCCTAGCCTGGTTCCATCCCAATGGCAGCTACAGCTCCACAGCACATTGAGTACTCCCACACTTATTCCTTAACATAATTCAAAGGTCTGTTCTAGCTTTTAAAAGCACTTTCAGATTCTGAAATAAGCGAGGAGAAAAACTAAACCTGCTGTGCCTACTTCAGAACTTGTGTATACTCTAAGGCACTTTTCACACACAAGATAGATCATGAAATCAGACTTACAGATCCAGAAATAATCTCCTAACAGCCCACTTCATCGTCAAGCAAACGTACTCCGTGGATCAGATGTGAAAAGCCTTTATAGCTATGCAACCTTTTGAAACTTTATGCAGGACTAAACAAAGGGACAATGAACCTATTTCTCTATAGGCACAGCTGTTCTTAACTTTTTTCCCTGCATCTATGATCCTAATAAGAAGATGATATTAGAAAACTACAGGTACAGACGTTAGGCACTCCAGGAACTGATTCATGCTATACAAAGTTAAGACAAGCCTTACAAGTTTGTATCCGTCATGTTAAAGTCACACAAACTGAAATCCATAGTCAATTCCAACTAGTCACAGGATTTACTATTTGCTTATTTGAAAGCTTTACTTAAAAAGCAATTTTGAGAGACCAAGCTTTCAACAAGGTTCTTGATTTCCAGATACTTAAGGAGCTACTTTAACAATATTCATATTTTTGAGTATTAAGCACAAATTTACTGAGAAGGCGGTACAGAAGAACATTAAAGAGAATTTAGTTTTCTTATTAGCTTTCCTCTGCTTCCCCCAAACTTCATCCCATGTGCCCCAAAAAAGCCAGCAAATTCCATGGTCCCTGCGCAGTGCTGTGAGATTCTTCCAGCCTTGCATGCCTGATGGGGAAAGCAAGGGGGGCAACAAAAAAAAAAGGTTCAGATCTCTGCAGAGTAAAGGTATGGAAAGAGTTTCATAGATTTCCCTAAGCCGTACACAACTGACATTTGGGCTACATCGTCCCCACTAAATACCGAAGAGAGGTTAATAAACTTCAGAAACATCGGAGTGGCTGTAAATCTAGTACTAGAAGAATTTAGCTTCAAGTCTTTTGTTCCATGGAAAGAGAAGAACAATCAAGAGGTAAAGAAATGGAAACAAACTGCAGCCTCATCTGCAAACACAAATTTCTTTGTTGATATAGACATACATGACCGAAAATGTTAATGCTATGTATGTAGGAAAAGATTACTTTTCAACATCTCGGTGTTTGAAATATTTATGTACATGACAGTTTCAAGTATGTATGTGTGGAAAACGGCTCCCCGATTTTGGCATCTAGACTAAAAGCCTGAAGTCAGAAGGTATCAACATCCCTGCAAGTAGAAATGACTAGATTTATGTGGTTTTTGAACTACCTAAACATTTCTAGTACTTTGTGCATCACAGATTGTTTCAAGCTCAGATTAGCAGACAAATGATTTCAGATACAAAAATAACTAAACCACAGTTTTGAAAAGAGCTCAAGATACAACCCAGAAGTTGAAACCAAATACATTCAGGTTAGTATTTTATATCTTATTTAATTACAAATATGTGAAATTCAATGGCCTGGACTGAAGAGAGGTAGAACGGATTTTTAATTTTCAAACCTGACAACGTGAGAAGTTTTTAAATAATGTCACATTTATGTTAGAAAAAATAAAAGTTTAAGCCAACTGCATTAACATTTTCAAGTAAGGTATCTGAAATTATGTGCCCCAGCAAGAGACTAATTTTGAAGTTGGAGGACCTTCACCTTCTAAATCACAATGGGGGGACTAAAAGAATCGGGAAACTTTCTTCGGTGGCCTTTAGTCAGACACTCAGAACGTAAGTTACAGCTCAGATTTTTATGCAACTTACACATCATTGCAAAAGCTCTGGAATGACAAATTCTGTTCCGATAGCCTGGCTCTGGCTTGACGACCAACATGTACATTGTGTTCTTTTTATCTTTAGGAAACTACACACTTGGTGAATAGTCTAATATATGAAGAAAAAAAATCCACAAATACAGATGTTGCTCATATTGCAAGCAAATATTACCTATACAGGGTTTCTAGCCTTGTTTTTAATGACCTTACTGAGCAGCTATCTCTTAATGTCACTATGCTTTCATGAAGATTGCTGCTTGCGGTTACTAGGAAAAAAAAACTAATCTCAATTTATTTTCAGTCCTTAGTAAGACCTGCAATTTAAGTTGTATTTGTAAAAATTTAGGAAGCAATTGCTGAGCCACTTCATACCATCATTTTAAAACCACAAGAACTAGATCTAAACAGGTGACTCTACTGAACACATTCTAGGAGGGCATGATCTCCATCTACAGCAGTAAATTCTCTTCTTAGCCTTCCATTCAGCGTCCCTGGCCCCACTCATCTTCATCCCTCACACCAGCCACATCCACTGTTACTACTTTTCCATCTCACTGGATCCAAAATATCTCGCAGCTATTCACTACTTACTATGATTTTTAAAAGCTATTGTTTATGTTCTGTCAAAAAGCCAACATTTCCAATATTCTTGTTGCAAAATGAAAACAAATAGCAATTTGAAAACGAAACAGGTTTCAAATTCAGTAAGAATTTTAGAATTCTCCATTTGGCACTATTCTCAGTTGCACTCACAAACAGTAAGCCAACACAAGATCCACATTATAAATAATAAATACAGGACGTTTTGTCAAAGGCTGCAGTATAAACATCAAAGAAAGCTTTTCAACAAGAATGACTGTAGTACCAATACTGTACAGAAGATAGAAAAAATACACATATTCCTTGAGAAATTTCTTTCATAATTTAACAGTTAGAGATTCCACTTCAATTCCTGTGCAGCTTTATTATTAGGACACAAATAACTGACAGAATACTACACAATTTTCAAAGAACTGTGAAAATGGTTTCACAGATTATTTAAACAGAAACAGATTTGCCAGGTAGAAGGCCAAGGTAAAGAAAAAAGTCCATTACAGCTTCTCTCCAGCTAGGAAGTTGAACCTATTTCGAACATACAGATTTTCAGAACTGCTACAAGATGAGTTATTTGATGTATTTTAACTTGCTATAACAACAATTTTTAGAACATTCAGTAAGCCTAAAGAGCCTCTGAGAACTAAAATTCCATGATTTAAATTAGTCCAGTCTTACCACTTAAAATATGAATACAAGGCAATAAAATATATGAAATAAGTCTAAACATAATTTCATAAATTGTAGCTGACTTCATAGAACAGAACCCTCAGATTCTGTTTGTAAAGGCAGTTAATGAAACAAAGCATTCCCTTTTTCTCAGCTATTCTTATGCAGTAACCACATGAAATCTGCCTCTCTAACCAGCCTTTCCTGAGGGCTGAAGCAAACAACAGCAGTGCAACCAAGTAACAGAAAGGCAGTTCTGAACAATTAATCAATGTCATGTAGATAGAAAGTGACTGATGTTTTTTCACCATTCTGCTGTCCTGTGAGCTGCCCGGAGGAAGCTGTCTCTGGGACTCAGCTGCTTCACCTTGCTCTTATCACGCTCAGCTGAATGCAAGTAAACCGCACAGTGCCACTGCAGTTTGATTAGGACAAAACTGAATCCATTACAACCCCCTTCCTGCGTTTTTATTATCCCTTGGGGAGTCCTGAAATTTGTCCCCAAAAAGAAAAAAACAAAAGAATTCAGCAGAAGTGCCGCACAAGCTCGCTAGCACAGGAAAAAATGCATCCCTAGGTCCATACTGACCCACTGCCAAATACTACACCTCTGATCACATGCTCTACAGTACACCCTATAAAGTGTGCTCTGAACGCTCAAAATAGTTTATTTTGATTCTAAACTCCACCGTCAGCGAAGCTGTAGGCAATTTTATCTTTCCCCTGTGTTTGTACAGTACGATTATATACCGGGCAAGCCTGCAGGTTGTGAGTGAAGACATTTCTCAGTGCAAGAGCCCTATCACCAAGAGTATTTAGGCCCAACAAATCGTATTTTTCAGTCTA